GGCCCGCGCGTCGCTCCTCGCCCCCTCCTCGAACAGGACTGCCCCCCTGGCGCCCCACTACACCCACACTCGTCCTCCCCTGCTTTCGCCATCGGATGTGCCTCCGTCGCCTCTTTTCCACTGGCGTCCACCGCCCTTTCGCTCTCATCCTCCGCCTCCTGCATTCTGTGCACTGCGCCATCTTAGTGTCGGTCTAGCCTGCGTAATCGCACCAATTTCAGCGAGCATCGCTCCTTAATGTGGCGGGCTTTGGCGTTTCGCTCTCGTTGCGCCGCAACCGCCACTCACTGCCGCGCACCCTCCGCCATATTCCACACGCCCGGCCGCCACCCGCGCCGGCGTCGCAGTGGCGCCGCAGGCGTCTGTGCTGCACTGTCAGTTGCGGCGGCGGCGGCGGCGCCCTCAGGCGCCTGCTCCGGGGCGGGGCGGTGGGAGGCGGAGGCGGGAGAGAGGTATTGATGCGCTGGGGGTGGGGCGGTGGCGCCCGCCCGCAAGATCGCAGCGGCACCCGGTTCCCTCTGCTCTCGCCGGCCCCCGCCACTCGCGCCCGCGCACGGTGCGGCGTGGCGGGGAGGCAGCAGCGGCTCGGGGCGCGGCGGCAGCCAATTGCGTGAAGAGCTCATCCCCCTGCTCCCTCCGCCCGCCGCCCCCTGTGCTCCGCGCGGCGGCACTCGCCTCGCTGCTCTTGCCACGCGACGCCGCCTCTGTCAAGTTGGGCAACAGCGGCCAGGCGGAGCCCCGGGCGATGGCCTTTGCCGCCCCGCGCGAGGGGCGGCTCTGCCGTGCGGCGGCGAGGGGCGTTGGTACCGAGCGGCCGAGGAGATCGAAAAGTTGCGCCGATGACCGCGGGCTGCCCCGATTCATTCACGGTTGGCGTCGGTGGAAGAAACGGCAATAGAGACGATGTCCTATTCCGTAGTATGAAACGAAATATTAGATTGGCTTTACGCGCTCGTCGAAATTTATTAATTGACACCATCGTGTAGTAGACATCCTTTGTTGCTATTGGATGGAAGACCTGTGCCCTATTCCTCAAGAATAATTATTTCAGAATTAAGTAAATAATGTCTATATGTATTTTTAATTAGTAACGAAAAAGGAATTTTTAGGATATTTGTATAAAAAATTTTAAAACTATGTATTTCGTTGTTTTGATTGTGGTTCGAAATCGAATCGAGATTTTTCATTCGAAAAAAATCGACGATAATATAAAATCGAATCAAGTTGATAAAGTGTTTTTGCTGATTTGAATTCATCTTCCAATTTACTACATATATTTTTGGAAATTATGGATCGATGTTTGTAGAGTATTACCTAAACACACGTCTTTGCGTTTTGGTATATTATAGAGCATTCAATTAATAACCATGATGTATTTTAGATAGCTTTTTCTTCAAACGATCTTAATCTTGTGCTTGAACGAATAAAGAATAATGTGTGAATGAATGTCAAAGAAAAATCAAGGTTTAGCCTGGTGAAGTGCGCAAGGTCACGTTGCGTAAATTGATGGCACCGCTGTCGTGGGCAAGGCGGCGGCAGCGGGATGTTGCAGGGGCCGCGCGGGGGGCTGGCAATATTCAAGGAGCGGTGGCCGGCCGCGCAATCGATTATGTGCAGCGCAGCCAGGAGGGAAATCCGGGGCGAGGCGGTCCTGACGGAGTAAAGGAGAGGGGCCGTCGAAGAGGGGGCGGTGACCCCTCCATTCGCCTGTGGAGCACCACCAACACCTTTCGCTTTATGTGCAACGCGCGGGCTTCAACGGCAGTAACCTGCACCTAAATTAAAATCGCTAGTTCGCCATTGCTCATGTATACACTGAGTAACATTGGTAACGCGGCACGAACAGCATACAAACACTTTTTTGTCCACAACACACGAAGAGTCGCAAAGGAAACTAGGAATATACTTGCTATTAAAGGTGGACAACAGTTTCCTCAAATTATATGTAAACAAATTTATAATTCACTAAAAAAATCGTTCGTGCGGATTCCAATTGTCGGCAGCTGCTCTCACCTGCTGCCTTGCTCGTATAAGCGCTTTCCATGTACGTCAACCGCTATTGTCATTTGTTCCGCCAGTTTAGTATACGTTCACTGAGTATGCCTGGAGATGGCGGTACCCCCCCCTCGGGAATGAGATTTGGCGCCGGCCTACACGTCAACGTGCGGGGAATTGTTCCCCTCTAACGGGTCTCTAGCGCAACCGGCACAAATTCTAAGTACCGGAATGTTCGCCCGAGTGAGTAGTCCCCTGCTACTACATTCCCGTGATACTTATCGCAGACGCCACGGAAACCTAGCGAATAGAGGAGGCCGGCCGCTAAAAGCTAAAATTGGCTTGCCGCTAAAATCCTCATGCCAGCACCCGAATTCGATCTAGCTCAATGGCTACTGTCGCAATCCCGCCACTGTGGGACCTCCCGACCCGAGCTGCTCCAGGTGCAACGGCAACGTTGGCTGCGAGCTACCGCGGCCGGCGCGCGGGGGCGGGCGCGGATTTCCGGGGGCAGATCGCAGCAGCGAACAATCCGCGGGCTGCGCGGGTCCTCTTGCGGCGGAGGCTGAGCGCGGGCGGAGGGAGGGAGGGCGCATGCGCGGGAGGCTGGCGCGTAAATCCGCCCCCCTCCCCTCCCACCGGCAGAGCGGCGCGGCGCCAGTCACACGCAGGTCACGTCCCGCGGATTTCACGAGCGCCTCCGACGCCGCCACAGCACCGCCCAGGGGAAGGGGAAGCGGGGGGGGGGAGGGGACGCAGAAAAAAAAAGAGCAGCGGCGCCGCGGCGAGGGGAAGAACGGCATCGCCGCGACAGGCAGATGGTGGCGAGACAGTACGACAGAGCGAAATTCAGATCGATTTTTTTCCACGCACCTCCGCACGGCGTGGGAGATGAACCGCGCTACTCTCAAAGTTCAAGATCTCGAATAAATTACTTTTTGTTGTACGGCGTGTCTGTATGCGAGAGGGGGAAGTTTCTGTCCTTAATCTGGGGGGTGAGAAAGGGGTATCTGCAGGCGCCAATTAACGCTCCATTGGCCTGCGTGGCCCTTTTGTTAGGATACAGCTCCGGTATTTAGGCTGTGTCGATGCAACAAATAATGGAAAACCAATCGGAGCAGCAGCTAGCTAGAATCCTCCTCCAGACATCGGCTAAACTCGAGCTAGCCAAATAAACCTTCCCACCGTGGAACCCTGGGACCTCTCGGGCAGAGGCACTGCTGTGACATCAATTGATGCCCTGAGCCACCCAAGCAGGTCGGTTTCATTCCAACTAGCAAGTGGATTCATAGGGCCATCGCGCCACTGGCACTGCAGCCGCGTAACCGACTCCTCCTCTTCCGCGCGTAAGTCAATCTCCGAACGAAGCAATACGCGCGGGCGTTTCGCGCGGTGAGCCTCTAACGAAGTCACGCGGGTGACGCCCTTCGCCGCCAGAGGCCGCACGGGGAAGCGTGCGTATCCGTGGAACGGAGCACGGGAGGCGCGGGGAGAGGCACGGGGGGGATAAGTGAATAAACAATCGCTGGGGGCGCGGACCCCCCCACGCCCCGGCTCTGTTAGCGCCGGGGATGGACACGCGCAGAGGACGAGGGAAGTGCGGCAAAAGGAACTGTTCGGCGAGCTCTACAGTGGTGCAACAATAGTTTGTTTTCGTTGCAAAACAAAAACGACTTACTTAATGTGTTGGTTGAGACTATAACTTACTGATATGTATGGATTAACGACATGTTAATCTCCATTCTATATTTTATATATATATATATAAATATATATGTATATATATATAATGTTTTAAATTTTAGGTATTTATAAATTTGGAATTACCGGCAATTATTAATATATTCCATTCGATGCTTCGACAGTATCGAAATCAAAACAGCAGCATTGGTATTGAAAAAAAAAATGCTGACGTATGCCAAATTGATGGTTATAATAATGCCAGTTTAGACTAAATCATTACTTTCATTAGAACACTTTAGCAGAATAGTCGTAAATTCTGTCGTAAAATCTTCTTTCATACTCGAATGAAAATATAATTTAATTTGTGAAAAAGTTACAATTTTCACAAATATAATTGTCAGTTTCAGTACTGTTCGTAATGATTAACCCTTAGAAAATATCCGGGCGAAGTGTTTGCAATAAAATACGTAGAACTCTCTTCGAATTAGATCTTGTTCTATTTTGGAAGAAGCGATCCTTGAGTTTCACTTTATCGCTAATTTGTTAGTCATTGACCAGTCTACAGAGAGAGGGATATTAGCGAGGTTTTCACAGCATACCGTTCACCATTCGATTACAATCTGGATCTTTTACGAATGCATAGATGCACAAAAGTGATGCAACACTCGAACTGACCGATCAGAAGATCGATACTGCTTCGATTTCAACAACGCTTCGTCGTGCAAAAAACTCTCTTTACTATCGTATCGTACTGAAGTGTCGCAACATCTCTAGCACAACCGGCCCTGCTGGCGGCTGCGAGTAGAGAGGAGAGGAGAGGAGAGGAGCTGAGAGCGACGTCGGAGGGGGACGGGTCGGGCCGGGCCGGGCCGGGCCGAGCAGGCGGCAGCTCCGGGTCGCCGCCTTTTGAGC